GGGTTTAGGGTTTAGGGTACTAGTGTACCACTCTCCCCTAAGAACCCAACACCACCCCGCCCAGCACAATGCCACCGCCTCATGTCGCGTGTCGCATGTAGTCTGCACCCAAACTCGTTCGCAACAACGGGCCACACGAGAGCCTCACCCCGAACATGCACACACAAGCTGACGAGGATCGCAAGCCGTGCGTGTTGTCAAATCGATAGGCAAGGTGTGTCTCCTGCCAGCAGCCTCTATCATTTGCGCGGCACATTCCCACGCTGCAGCACCTCCAGTAAAATCGGAGTCGCTTCCCTGAGAATTGCACAGCACGGATTGGCACACACGCGTGTGCCCCATAGTCTGCAGCAGGCATCTGCAAGCCACGTCGGCCCATTGGAAACGCTCTACTAATGCTCTGGCACTGTCTTCCGCCATTGCATGATGCCCCGCAAAGCAGCTTTACCAACATGTGTCACTTCGAGCAAAACAAAGTGGCCAAGCACACGTGTAGGTACATGCGCGAAAGCATTAAGCGCAATACAAAATTCCATGATGCACAGGGTTGCCTGTTGAGGTAGTATGATCCCGTGGACTTTTCAGGTAGATACAGCGCCGCGAACAGCTGCTTCAGCATGCCCGGGGTGCCAGCATCGAAACAGACCTGCGCACATGCAAGAATCTAGTTCAAGCTGCACAGTGTTGCTTGGCTCAAAGCACACATGCCAAGTGTTGGGTCGTGCCTGCACATACTTGGCAGACGCAGCGACATTTCCGGCTTTGAACCGGTAACAGGATCCAACCTCCTTCCACGACACGTACCCTCAAGAACGCTCAAGAACTTGCTTGACGACGCCACTGCTGTTTGTACCACAGAATCTCCTTGTACAGCCGCTGGGTTGCTGCCTTGCGACAATAGCCGTGATGTTGCAGAGCATCTTCCAAGCAACGCCAAGATGAGTCCTGGACAGCTGCGGCTAGAAGTTTACGGCCTATAGGGCCCCATGAGAAACCTCCGACTTCCGAAGCCACAGCTGCACAACCGCCATTGAAACACTGAACCAAGCCCAAGAAATATGTTGCTGACTGAGAATCATTTTGCATGCTGAGGATGATGGACTCTAGATGGTGTACATCGTACGGTCTGCGTGCATCAGAATCTACTCGTGCTGGTCCCTGCTCATCACTGGCCAAAGACTGAAAGCCACGGAGCAAGTGCTGGAAAAGCACTGGCAGTATTGCATATGCCACTGCACTTGTGGCATCGGACCCATTGAATAGCATCATGACAATGAGATCGGCCAGGTTTGGCGAGTGCATCTGAGGAGGCGGAGTTGAAAGCACTGAACGCTATGGCCATGCATTGGATGCCTGCCCCCCCGCCTCAGCACAGCATATGTTTGCATAATCTGGATCTGCGCCTGCCCTCTCGTTTTCTGCAATCCACCACTGGCGAAATTGTGGCCAGAAAGGCAGGTTATCGAGTAATGGTTGCTGCGATATGAGAGCTTTGCCACCTTGAACATGCACGGGCACCTAGGGCACTGCATGGACTGCAAGAAACCACGACACAACTTCAAAGGAGACGATCATCGCAAACTTGCATCCGGGCAACCTGCATAATCGGAATGCTGGTTAAGCCAGGCAAGCAGCAAGCTGGTTGAAGCAGGTCTCGGAGTACCCGCGCTGCCCTGGGAGCTGAGCCATGCTGCATATAAAGCAACAGCATGAGGAAACTGCCTGTCACAGCTTACACAGACAAGTTGCACAACGCAATCTTCATCGGATCTCCGACGCCCCGTTGACCAAGCTACCAGCTGAGATACTAACATGCTCGTCGAGGACACGGTGTCAGGCACAAAATCTCTCAAGGTGTCGGAGTCCACCAAGCCAGGATCTAGAACCTCTTTCCGGTTCAGCCTGTGAGATTGAACCTTATCGGACCCGCAGATGACAATCGCACATGATTTAATTTAGTGTACAGTCTACAGTGACCCGGGTTAAAGTTTGGGTGTGAAAGGACAGACTTGTGAGTTTGCTTTCTAGCATCAAACGGCCAACTTGCAGACGTTGCACTCTATCAGTTTGACGACAGTTACCGCGCCGACGCGCGCCCTCAACACTGCACCACGACAGGACCTGCACCTAGAGCCATGACAATAACACAGGAAAGGAATTCTGTGACGATCCAAGGGCATACACTGCTGGAACTCGCTCCTCGGGAAACAGTCGCCCGTGACTGCTCTGGATCGTTTTGAGCAGTTGCTTCGTCACTGTGGAATATCTCCTGCAAGATGGAATTATAACCTACTTGGAGGTTCATGGGTAGTTATAAGTAGGGCTATAAGTAGGGTAACTATAATTATAACCCATATTAGGGGACTTATAACCCCACTTATAACTACCCATGAACCTCCAAGTAGTCCGAAAACATACGCCAATTCATTGGCAACGACAGTTCGGGTTCGTCCTCTGAGTGTCGCTGCCATAGACAGCAAGAAAGACGGGTGAAATGCTCCACAAAGCCAAACCAGTGTCCCGGATGTGGAAGACCGAAGTTTTCGGAAAGAGCCCATGGCTTGGCCATGTGTAGCGCACTACTGCCATTCTCCTGAACTTCCTACTGGCACTTTGCCTGACGCACAGTTTATGAACTTTAGACTTTAGAGCTACTGTACCCTAGCCGTCGTGTCCAGGTCAAGTCGGTCTGAGTACAGCGGATTCAACTGGGAATTTTGTTGAGTCATGATCTATAACCCTCGAATACAAATCCAACATCCTGGGGCCAAGCATCTCCAGCAACACTCCAGAGGCGTATCCAGACCCATAAACCACGAAAACAAGGGTCCAAGCTCTAGGGTCCAAGCCTTTACCTTTTGATAGTCAGAGTCCCACAACCCTAAACCCTAAACCCTCAGCCCCCTTTTTAGGATCCCGAAGCCCTATAACCGGGGCTTTTAATGTTAGGGCCTTGATGCTAACAACCCAACACAATCCCCAAAACCAAACCCTCAACCCTAAACGCAGAGCCTAAGCCTAATATAGAAGCCTGAATAATCACCAATCTTATTCCTAAGCCCGATCCTATTTATGAAGGCATCTACATTAAACCCTCAACCTATGGCAGGGTCTTCTCGCCAAGCTCGGTAAGGGTGTCTCCGAAGCCGAGCAGGTGCTTCTGCCAGGAGTTTATTTAACGGGATTTGGGTTTAGACCCTGGAAACCCCGAAGCAGTAAGGTAGGTAATCAGTGGGGTTATACGGTTGGTAAACATTTATCATTAGAGTTACCTGGTTACTTAGACCCGTATTTACGAGGGCGTGTGATATGTCTAAACCTTAAACCATAAACCCCTCACGCACCTCAACCGAAAACCCTAAACCCGGAACCGACCCCCCCCAACCCTCCCCCCAAATCCTGAAAGCAAACACCTAAACCCGAGAATCTCTTGCCATTTGAAGTCTTCATTCGTGAACCCTTTAAACTCTGGGCAGCAAAACCTCCAAACCCTGAACCCCCAAACTCTCAATCCTAAGCCCCTAAGCCCTAAACCCTAAACTCTAAATCCTAAGACCCTAAGCCTTAAACCCTAAACCCCAAACCCTGAACCCTGAACTCTCAATCCTAAGCCCCTAAGCCTTAAACCCTAAACCATAAACCCCAAACCCTGAACTCTCAATCGTAAGCCCCTAAGCCCTAAACCTGAAACGTTCCCACGGATTTCAGGTTTAGGGGTTCCTTTCAAGAGTCCCTTTCGGGAATCCTTCTAGGCTTCTCTGAGGGCTACTGTGGGCTTTACGGTTTAGGGAAAGGGTTTAGGATTTAGGGTTAGGGTTTGGAATTAGGTTTAGGGTTTAGGGTTTAGGAGGTTTACCTGGAGATCCAAAAACCGACCGTTTTAAGGGTTCTACCTTCTAACTAGTGGGTCATCACCTACTGTTTTGCAGGGTTGGGGGCTACAGGTTCTTTCAGGAATCTGTGCGTAAAACGGTTTGGTCTAGCACATTTTCAGGTGGGTAGCTACCGTTATAGGAGCCTTATAGAAGCTCTTTTTACCTCCCGGAAGCCGTATAGAAGCGCTATATTACCCTAAACTCCCCACCTGTAGTTTCTTCTAACCCTGAACCCTAAACCCTACCTCCTAAACCCTAAACCCTAAACCCTAAACCCTAAACGCTAAACCCTAAGGAGGGAATGTGCAAAGGGGGTGGGGGTTCCCTTTACGTCCGGCATCTTCATCTCGAAGCCTCTCTTGCCTTGAAGGCTATAGCCCTGAACCCTATATGGGTAGTTCTCTAAATTAGGGTTCTTTTTTGGGTTTAGGGTTTAGGGTCCTTGTTTTATAAGAGTGCCGTACTATATTGGGGACCTGAAAAGGGACCCTGATTTAGAACACTACCCATGTCTTCAACCCTAAACCCTGAACCCTAAGCCCCAAACCCTAAGCCCTCAACGCAAAGCCCTGAAGCCCCAAACCCTAAACCCTAAACCCTAAACCCCAAACCCTAAACCTCTTTTGCCTTATAGGGTTTTGTTGCGCTTTTATCGGCTTTTGTGGAGCGGACAAGGCAAAAGCTCTAAGTCACGTTACGGATCCCTTCACCCAGAGACTCCAATATCCCTTAATTAAGCAATATACCTTAATTAAGGAATATACATTAAATGATAGTAGGATCCCTAATGTGATTTAAGGTATATTCCTTAATTAAGGGGTATTGGACTCTC